GTAGTTTGGGTTGACGAGCCAAGCAATTGTTAGCAACAGCACAAGCTTATGAGCCGACTCTATCGAATACTTGCCATCGAGCCTAGGGTCGATGATCAACCTGAACTTTTTTAGATTGGAGAGGTGTGGCCGGACCCATTCCAAGAGCTTTTCTTCACCTTTGGGGCGGTTCCGATCCAATGGACGCCTACCGGTTATGAGTTCGTAAAGGAAAACTCCATAGCTCCAAACATCACTTTTGACCGTGAGGCGTCCGGTTTGAATGTACTCGGGCGCTGCATATCCAATGGTTCCCACAACCTGCTCAGCAAAGTGCACCAACTGATACATCCATGAAGAAAGCTCCAATGTTAAAACATAATTTATAGCAACTTTAAACCTACTGCAGTTGAGACATGGCTTAATCCATCTGAAGGTCCCAATCTGGCCAACCCAAAATCTGAAAGCTTTGCATTCCAATGTTCATCCAAAAGAATATTTGAAGACTTGAAATCTCTGAAGATAATCTGTAGCAATCATAAAATAGAATTCTTTGAAACCGACTTGTTAATTGATCCTGCGAGCCGATTTCGATCTTTTTTTAAACACAAATATCTCATTTACACCTTAGTTCATATTGATTTACTTTATACTAACTCTAAAAGTACCTGAAAATCCATTCCTTCATGGAGGAATGCTAATCCTTGAGCAGCATCCCGGGCGATTGTCAACCTGGTTGCCCAAGGAAGAGTTGTTTGTAACCGAGTTGACAAATGATCCTGCACACTCCCGTTGGGCATATATTCATATATCAGTAGTCTTTGTATTCCTCTTTCATCATCCTCAGCACAGTAACCCATTAATTTCACCAGATTTTGGTGCTCAACTACCCCTAACACATTTACTTCCGTCACCCATTCTTTGTGTCCCTGTGAACATAAAGTGGAAACAAATTTGATAACCATATGTTACATAAAAGAACATACAACATGAATCAATTCTTTTCTCAGTATGAGATATTATCCGCTTCGAAGATCAAAGGACAGCCGTTTGTCCTTCAAATGTTGATCATGGAGGACTAAATTGTTGGCTTCTCAGTACAGAATAGAGCCTATGTGAATGAAATGGTACATCATGGACAGAAATGGTACAGAATTCGCCCAAACAATAGATATAGCTTATATCGAAGTTTCAGAAGCCGTTTTTGTTACTGGTGGTTAAAAATCCAGGAAGCTGACCTGAAATCCTCTTTCGGTTGAGCTGTTTAACAGCAATGTCGATTTTCTTGTGGGAATCTTCTGAGCTTCGGATTGTACCCCTATAAACACCACCAAATCCGCCTTCACCGATCATCAGGGATCGACTGAAGTTCTTGGTTGCGGTCTTCAACTCCGAGAACATGAAGTCTCTAAGATTACTTTGTCTTTGAGACATAACAGCAAATGAGTTCTTGGTGGATGAATTTGAGCTAAAATCTGAGACATTCCTGGAATTCGACTCCGACCCAGATCTTCTCATTTCGTTATCAGTTGTCATGGAAACAGAAGTGGAGGATTGAATTGAAATGGACTTTGTAGTTTTTGGTTCATCATTCTTCACTTTACTATTGAAATAAAAACACTTCATTCCCGCAAAGAATCAAACAGCTTCACTGCATATTAACAAGATCGACCAGGAAATAGTTTCAGTGGTGCAAAACAATCATTGCAAACTACACTTTCCAGCTAATATTCAGAACATGAGACAGAACAGCCTTATCAACTCAAACGACATTAGCCTTAAAAGTCAAACATGGCAGCTAAATACCAATGTTCTTTGTCTGCATTTCTCCCCCCCCCCCACCCCCAAACAAAACTCTATAAAAAGACTTCATCTTTGACACAAAATAATCAAAACCCAATCGCCAAATCCACAACTAAATTGTAGCAAAGCCTCAATTGGAACCAATTTCATGTGCAATTAAGTTCTCAAACACTTGGAAACCAATAGGAAAAATACATAAATTCATACATCTGCTGCAAAGAAATTCAGCAACATTTTGAACTATAAAAGAACAAAAATAACAATTGAAGACACCTTTTTTTGAACAATTTCAAGAAAGAACTCACCTTTTACTAATATTCAAACAAACAAAAAATCAATAACAAAGTAGTATAATTTACAGGTTCTTAAACAAATACCAACAATCCAAAAAAGTAAAATTAAGAGGATCCAAGGAAGCAGCAAATAGATGTAAATGATCTAATAGCTTACCAATCAAGAACCCTCCACAGAATATAATAAACACCAAATTCAGATTATGGTATTATGTCTAGGAATTGAAGAACAATAAAGTAAAAGTGAAGATTTGGTTGTCATTTTCTTCAAAAGAAATGATTTTGAACCAATTGAAGAGAATTCAATTCATCCTACGCATATTCGAATATATATGTATATACAGTATAATTCTTTGAACATAAATATGTAAGACACGTACCCTTCTAGAAAACAATAAAGTAAATTATTTGTAGTCTTCTTTTTTTAAGGGAAAAGGGTGGTTTAGAAGGTAGAAGCCATTAACATAGCTCAAAGCCGCTGGCTTTAAATTGTTGAATTCTTTATTTGCTCCATAAATTCAAAACTGGATGCAAAAAGACAAATCATAAGTCAAGATTTATAAAAATCTTATTGCTGTGTAAGCATAAGCTATAGTAAACAATCATTTTGATATGAGAGAAAGTGAATGCGTCATTGATTAGGATTTCTAATATTTTCATAATTCAACATTTTCTCCAATCCATGTTCATGTTCATGTTCATATCTACTCATTTTTTATTTTTAGTTTTTCTAATATTTCAAAACTTTTATAATAAATTGACAACATACATATATTAATTGTTTGAACTCATGATTTCTAGAAAAAATAATATTTTTTAAGTTTTTAATTAACTTAATTCTCAGCTTTAGATGGCATTGTGAATATTGGAAATGGAACCTAGATGGCTAGATCATAACCTACTAGATTGAACTTTGAGGTTGTACATAATTGATTCGGAATAAGTTCCCACTAAAACCCGACATTTCAGTATCAAATATATAATTAAATCTTACTTAATTACTTTTTCTATTTTTATCATCGGTCTTTTAATTTTATCAATCAGATCATTTAATTATTTAAGTGTTATAATCAAGTTACCAAATATTAACATTTAGCGGTTGTTTGAAAAATTGGCACAATTACACATTTAATCCTCAATATTTATATATTTTATCGAATTAGTTCTAATTTCACTTCAATTAAATAAATTTAATCTAAATAAATTTTCTCTTCAATAAAGAGGTGACATGTAGAGATGAGCATTCAATCGAGTCGAACAACCTATATATGATAGTGTTAGGTGCAAGCGCTGAAGAAGTGTGCTGGAGTGATACCGAAGAATGAGCTCTCTGATTATAAACTGAACATTTTTGTCTTGGTTGAGGTGAGTGTCGCTTGCGTTGGTCTTTGAAGCCCCGTCGCTCTATGTCCTTTGCAGGGTTGCTGTCGAGTGTTGTGTAAAGTGTGATGCTGGTTCTAGATGATTGGTATGGCACGTTCTGTGGCTTAATCTCTTGGTATTGCTGGCCCACGATCATTTGTGTAGGTGCGTTGATAGGTTTTCATTTTTGTTCAGTTCAGGGTGTCCCATGGTTATGTTCTGGTTCGTGATGGATGTGTGTAACGGATGCCTGTTTTGACGAATATGATGCACTCTTTTTTCTTTCATCAGATTTAAGGAGGTTTTTTTTAACAAGACTCGTGTCTTTGTCGGGTTTTATATGATTTTTTACTTCTTCTGATATCATACAAGACTAACCCTTTCAAAAAAAATTGAGTTATTCGAGTTGACAAGTCATATTTTATGACTTAAACTCAAATTGAATTTTTTTAGGCGAGTTGTTTGAGTTTTTGTTCAAATTTAATTATAATTATTTATAGTATTATAGTATGAATTGGTTCTAATTTTTTGACTCTTTCTAACCATATAATATATATGTATATATATTTATTCATATTATTTTCACATTATAATATTATTTTATACGTCATATACAATCTAAAATTATAAAATATATTTACAATATTATATTTCAAAGAAGATATTTTGAGGATAAAAGATCGATGAGAGATTGAGAGTATAAAGGAATCAAAGAATTGACGTGAAGAAAAAATTTATAACATTATAGTTAAAAACCTAAATCGAGTAAATGCAAAGTTAATAGACTAATTAAAAAAAAGTACATTTTTAGTAAAAAATTGAAATTGCATATGTATTTTATAATTGTAGCTATGGTAGCATATTGTTTAAATTTGGTAAAAATATACCTAAAATAGAGGATGAATTGAAAAAATACGAAAATCGTGCGAAACTGAGAAATTAAATTAAAAATTAGAAAATTTATTATAAAAAATTAGAATTAAAAACATATAAACATTCTATGATAATTTAGGAGCATGTAATTCAAATTTTTTGATAAAAAACTTACTTTAAATGAAAGAGAAATTTTAGGAATAAGAAATTAAAAAACAAATAATAAATTTGTCAAAGTACTCATTCAATTTTTTTTTTGAGTTACTTAAAAATTTAAAACTTCAACTCTACTCAAATTAAAAAGTTAAATTAATAATTCAAATTAACTAAAAATTTAAATAATTTAATATTAAAAAATAATTTTTTAAATCGAGTTTGTTAACTCTAATGGCATACATCACTGCATTATTTTCGAGAAAAAAAATATATTAAAGAGAATGGTGGCTGCCAAACGGGATAACATAAAAGGGTTAAATGCACATTTAAAGTATACGAATAATAGTTAAGTTACGTTGAAATTTTAAAATTTCATTCAAATATACATTAAATTTAAATAATTCTTTAAATTTGATAATTAATTTATAACATTTAAAATTTTAATAATAAAAAATATTTTATTCAACGAAACATCTATACACTTCAAGCCCGAAGGAAATGCAAAATTGGATTGGCGGATCGAGTTAAGCAAATCTGATTATAATATTTCTATCCGAGTTTTCTCTGTTTCAATACAAAGACACCTCATTGACGTGTTTTAACTGCTTACAACAGCTTGAAAGGAAAGAAGGAAGAGGCAAAAATGGCGAGAGCAGCAGCTTGGCATGCTTCATTTACTTCATATTCATCATCATCATCTCCTTTTGCAAGGAATCCCATGGTAGCTGTTGGTTTTTTTCTCTCATTTTCACCCAGGTTCCACAATTTATCATCGGCTTTTCCTTCACTTTCCATCAAACCAAAAAGACCCAACAACTCTTTTCAAGGTAATTCCTTTACTTTGTTTTACCTCTCTCCTAGATTGATTGTATGCCCTTGATTTGTTTGGAATTTTTTGATGTGTTTTTTAAAGCTTTTTCATATTAATTATTATCTTTTGTTTATTGTAATGGATTTTGAAATGGGTAGTTTTAAACTTTTAGTTTACAAGTAGTGAGATTATTACGATGTCAAATTTGATAAATTGTTGTTAAATACAAAGGATTTTTTTAAGTTTATCATCAGATTGTAGTGGATGCTCCATTGGTTAGTTCAATTCACAAGTAATGAAATTTTTATGTAATATGAAATATGTAAGCTATTGAGGATTGTTGTAGATATAAAACTGGAAAGTTTGTTAAAACAAGCTAAGGAAATGCTAGTTTTAGTGGATGAGAGGAGTAAATTACAGGAAATTGAAAGATGGTGACAGGATAGTTCGTTTTGTTTCAAGTTTCTTCATTTATTTGGAGATCCTTGGAGGGTCATATCCTTTTGCTAGCATCTGGAAATGTGTTGGACGCAAGTACTTCAATAAAATAATGAAGAGTTGGAGCAAATGTCACAAAAAAAGTGGAGTCGCAGGAACATAGAAAGAAAGTCGGAGTTCATTCTTGCTGAAATATTTTTGGTGAATACATTTTTGTTGTGAAAAGGCTTTTTTTCCCTGAAATTTTATAGGAGGCAATAAGATCACATAGTTAAAATTCTTTTTATGAGATGTCGCTAAGTGTTTTAGGGAATTGTGTTCAATGGAGTAGTGTGTCCAGCCCATGTTAATTTACTTCTCATTTTCCTGAAATATTTGTGCTTGACACATTCAAACACATTATTGGATCGGTCCCTCCAAATATATGAAAAAACTTAAAAATTGAGCATACCAGTGTCAAACATATACCTGAATCCAACACTCACTCCCCTCGAGTTTGAGCAACGTGGTTTTAGTTCACCGTGGCTTTTTCCTTGGATTAAACCTAGCTTATGGGTGCTAAATGATTTATCTCTATACTTTTGTGGCAGTGAGATCTGTGGCTGCTCCTACAGAAGATGTTGCAGGATTTGACGAAATGGTTTCCGGGACCGAACGCAAGTATTACATGTTAGGTGGCAAGGGAGGTGTAGGGAAAACAAGTTGTGCAGCTTCACTAGCAGTTAAATTCGCAAATAATGGACACCATACTCTGGTGGTTTCGACTGATCCGGCTCATTCATTGAGTGATTCCTTCGCTCAGGTTTAACCAACTCCCTTATTTTTTGTTTCAATGCTTTTATTCCTACGTTTATCTTCGTTTGGGCTCAGTCTGTGTTTACCTTTGATCAAGGATTTGACTGGAGGGATGCTAGTACCAGTTGAAGGACCTAACTTTCCGTTGTTTGCTCTTGAGGTACGTGGAATAAACTGTGTTGATTTTTCTTCGGGACACTATTTTGTGTTCGTTGCATGTAATCCTTGAGATCACGTATTCCATAAGAGTTAACTATCCGCGAGCTATTGCTTTGACGATTTTTTATTGCCTTGTATGCTCTGTAAATGTATATTAAATGTATAGTTTTGTCACAGATAAACCCGGAGAAGGCTAGGGAAGAGTTCCGAGATGCAACAAAGAATAGTGGTGGAACTGGGGTCAAAGAATTCATGGATGGCATGGGCCTTGGGATGCTTGTAGAACAGGTGAAGCTTTATTTACTAATTTTGCTCTGTGTAATGCCCATGTGTGGCCTCACTGTTTAAGTTTTGACCATTAATCTTTTTAATAAGCTAAGTTTCTTCTAAATGGTCAATGCATCATTTTGTGTTTCATGTGGAAGGCACAAACATCACACATACCTGTATGTACCCATGACCATACTCGTGCATATGCTGACACATGAAACCAAAGTAGCACAGCAAGTATAAAATACTAACCATAGGAGAAATGAGAAAATTTTGCTACATGAATTTCCTGATTGTATGTGGGTCCTAATCCTTCCCGTAAGCTGCTTTTCCTAAGGTCTCAGCTTGTTATTCTTTTGACATTTTCGGATTTATAAAACTATGATCTGTGCTTCTCATGCTTCTTTTAACTTCAAAGTTAGGGGAGCTGAAATTGGGAGAGCTGCTCGATACTCCACCTCCTGGTTTAGATGAAGCTATTGCAATTTCGAAGGTAGCATTATGTGCCCGGCTTATTTCCTTGTTTTATTGCAGCTTTCATATCTTTGGATGTATACTGACTGCAAAAGATCTTGCTAGGTAATGCAATTTCTTGAATCACCACAATATAATATGTTTACTCGAATAGTTTTCGACACCGCGCCAACGGTGAGTCACGAGTTTATTCTTCGTATTTTGTGGCACTTAATATTCAAAATCAACCTGAAGATCCCTAAATGATGGGGAGTTCTTTACAGGGACATACATTGCGACTTTTGTCTTTGCCAGACTTCTTGGATGCATCAATAGGCAAGATATTGAAGGTGAGACTTCCATCATCTATGTTACTCAGATTCAAGTTTGTTTGTTGGATACAAATGTGTACGGGCATGAAGAATGATCGACAAGTAACATCTTCCTCGTAAAACATGAGCTTATTGTCCTTTGTTGTTTATTACTATATTTAGAGGTGCTTTTAAGTTTAAGATAGATGATTTCTCATGTTATTGCCTCACAGAGTTGGCATGTCTAACTGATTTCACATGTAAAACTAAGTTACTCGGTCTTTGTGTCGTCTGAGTGTTGGATATGAGTATGTGTCCAACATGGGTATGTTCATGTCTTTTTAAGTTTTTCCGATGTATTTAGAGGGGTCTTAAGAGGGTCATATCTTAATACCCACAACCTAGTATGTATTAGACTCAGAAACTTAAAAGAAAAATTTAGTCTTAGCAGCATAGTTGTAAAGCCTTCCATTCCTCGAGAGTGGTGAGGTTGAGTTGGTTGACAATGTAAGCAGAAGATTTGTCCTTTTTTTGACATAGATGTCTTATAAATCGAATCATCATGAATCAAATCAATCATTTTTACGAATCTGAAACTAGCTTTATATTTGATGAGTAATTTAGGATCATTGGATGAGTGTAAACGAATGACTAAGATTAAGACTGTGTGTATTTCCAATATACACCTCTTTTTCTTTTTCCTGTAAAAATCTTATCTTCAACTATATATCTCAGCCATCCATTTACACTCATCCAATGATCCTAAATCATTGTAAAACTAAAAATTTTTACAGTGTAATTGGATCCTACCTCTCTATATATATGTTTTCTTATCTAGTTCTGAAGGAACTAATTTCTTTTCTTTAACCGTCATTGCCATATACAGCTTAGACAGAAGATTGCTTCAGCCACCTCCGCCATAAAATCTGTTTTTGGGCAAGAAGAAACCCAACAGAATGCTGTAAGACTGATTTAAATAAGATTGGCATCTTGTTTTCATTTTTAATCATTTTATTTTATTCTTCAATACTATTTATCCATATATTGTATTGTTTGTGCAGGCTGACAAGTTGGAGAAATTGAGGGAGAGGATGGTAAAAGTGAGAGACCTTTTCCGCGATGCAGACTCTACGGAGTTTGTCATCGTCACAATTCCGACGGTATTGCCATTTACAATTGTTGTTCAGCCTCAATTTCAGTACTCAATTATTTAACATTATTTACAATATTCTTTCCTTCCATTACATATAAGGTTTGCTAAGCTTGATCTGAATGGAGGACCATTTTTTTTCTCGAAAAGCAAGGGTGCGGTGGGACGGATTGGTTTTGGCAAATGCTGATATTTATTGCAATTAAATCACTTATATTTTACGTACTTTTTCTTAGGTGATGGCGGTTAGTGAGTCCTCCAGGTTAAGTGCCTCCTTGAAGAAGGAAAATGTTCCTGTGAAGAGACTAATTGTTAATCAGATTCTTCCTCCATCTAACTCTGACTGCAAGTTTTGTGAAATCAAAAGGAAGGTATATTTATCTTTTACTTTCATACAAGGATTATGAGCAGGCAAAATAAATCCCTAAAAAATCAGATTCTTTCTCTGCGAACGGGAATTGGTTCAAGTGGTAAGCGGCTTGATATCGCTTAAGTAGATCTCAAGTTCGAATCCTTGTGTATGATGAAAATCCCCGAAAATCCCTAAAAAATCAGATTCTTTCTCTATCGGCATCTGACTGCAGGATTTTTTAAGTGAATGCTATCGGGTTTATATCTGATTTGACCTTATATGCTATGAATGCTAGAATATGCTATGAATATTACCATTGACATTCTCCTTTTCGGCTTACTCTTCCCTCAAAGTATTCATTGTTTGATTAATATTTCAGGATCAGATGCGTGCTCTTGATATGGTCCGGAGCGATCCCGAGCTATCAAGTTTGAAGTTGATCCAGTCACCCTTAGTTGACATGGAGATTAGAGGTGTTCCAGCCCTTAAATTTATGGGTGATATTGTCTGGAAATAAGTCATCGCTATTGGTAATTCTCTCTTCTGAACTTTCTATTATCATGGCAAAAAGTCTTAAAGGAATTCGTTCATCTTTGTTATTCCGAAACTTCATTTTCCTTGATGTATTTATGGTTACCATCACCTAAATATATCTGTTGTGCACTCATCTTCGACACTCATGAATTTGAATAGAATCGATCTTGACTATGCTCTGTATTGTACCCAGAATTACTAGAGGCCCTATCTATGAAATGGTAGTTATACTTCCTATTAGATTTTTTCATGAACCGGGTTAGGTCGGGTTTTGATTACTGAAACGCATTCAAGTCGGATTTGAGCCGGCTTGATTTGAATAATCCATGTTATTATTTAAAGATAATACCCGAAGACCTCTAAATACATGAAGAAACTTGGAAAAACAATGAACGTATTCGAATCAAACACACATCGGTATCTAACAATTAAACCCGGACTTCATAACCATTACATCACCGTTATGCAATTCGTTACTAATATGTGGTTGTGAATTCGACAATGGCAGGTTCATTGAACAATGAATTGAAGAAGCTTGAGATTTTGGATAAAGAAGCCATGAGAGCTCAAAAGCTTGAAATTGGTTGATGTAAAAGGAAAACCTTCAAGTTTTGTAGAACCCCAAATCTTACATACACGCACACTGTTTTTTTTTTATTACTTTCTGTATGAGAGCAATGATATAACAGTCATAATATTGTTCAAAAAAAAATTAGGTTCAAAATTGAAACAATTTTAGAAAATGTTCATGAAGTATATCACATATGCGGGAAGAGCCTGACAAATCAAATCTTATAGACAAAAGGAAAGAACATAAGAGAAGGCGGTCACCTGTCTTTTTTAAAAGTATTGTTCTTTACTAATATAATACAACTGTTTACTCCTTGAGAACGTCTTTACTTGAGAAAGTGAGAGGAAAAATTGAATTTTGCATGTGCTTTAATATTTTTTTTTTTCGTTTCAGACTAATTTAGGAGTTATGTGTGAGTTACATTTCTCATATTAAAAAAAAAGGAAGAAAAGAAACTCGCTCCTGAGAGAAAACACCCTCCCATTTCCACAAAATTTACATTTCTACCACAAAACCCCCCAAGTATAAATCCCTTGTCGACCACAAACTCCACCCTCCATTCCCCCACATCGCATTCTCTAGAGCTCCTAAATTTCACTTCTCTTTCCACTCGCAATCACCTCCAAGTCCAATGGCCGCCGCAGCTCCACCGCCGCCACCATCCGATGTCCCGGAACCACGCATGGCACCACCGGAAACAACCCCGATAGGCCACCCTGTGTTCACCAGGATCCGCTTAGCCACCCCTTTGGACGTCCCTTTCATCCACAAGCTAATCCACCAAATGGCCGTCTTTGAAAAGCTGACCCACCTCTTCTCCGCCACGGAGTCATCCCTCTCTTCCACCCTCTTCCTCTCCCCTCCTTTCAAGTCCTTCACGATTTTCCTCCTCGAACTTTCCTCTTCCCCTATTCCTCCACTCCTTTCCCCATCCCCTTCTTTTACCCCCATAGAGAAAACTTTCAACTTCGACCTCCCCTTGAACGACCCTGAAAAGGATGTCTTTTCGGTTCATTATGGGAGTGATCAAGTTGTAATCGCTGGGTTTGTTTTGTTTTTTCCCAACTACTCGACATTTCTAGGGAAACCAGGGTTTTATGTCGAGGATTTGTTTGTCAGGGAATGTTACCGGAGGAAAGGGTTTGGGAAAATGTTGCTGTCGGCGGTGGCGAAACAGGCGGTGAAAATGGGGTACGGGAGAGTTGAATGGGTGGTTTTGGATTGGAATGTAAATGCCATCAAGTTTTATGAACAAATGGGTGCTCAAGTTTTGCCTGAATGGAGGATTTGCAGGCTTACCGGTGATTCTCTTCAAGCTGACCAGAATGCCAATGTTTAGCTGTTTTATTTGAGCTTTAAGAAAGTTAAATAAAAAAGGGTTTTTTTTCTTAGTTGGATTCTGATTTGGCCAATGACTGAAATTTTATCTTCAGAAGTTAGAGTTTCTTTGGATGAGATTGTATTTTGCTTGTTTCAGGAGATGAAAAATTATGGATTTCTATGTTATCGTGATGTAGATTTACTCTTATCTTTTGTAATCTGTCGTGATGTAGATTTACTCATCTTTTGCAATCTGCTTTTTTAAATGAAATATGGATCAATTCCACAGTTTTATCGGATTGAGAATTTATTATTATCATATTAGTTAAAATATTTCAAAAAAGAAATGAAAAAAATTGAAAGGATTGCCATGGCACAAACGACAGGAAATAAGCTGAGAAGTATCTTCCACTCCTAATAGCATTCAAATGATTGGAGAATGCCAATCTAGAAAAATATCAGTTTAGTCCTAAACTATGCCTAATCAGAATCTTCCAGTTTGTACATGTTTCCGTTAGACCTGTTACGGCCCCGGAACCCATACCCAGGTGCATTACAGATGAAACCTAACTATAATGACCAACTTTCAGGCCGAAGAGTTTATGTAATGACCAGTTTTCCGTCTATGTCGGCTATAGTCAGACACAAACCTGAAAGAAAGGCCACAACCTTCAACCTTGCATTGATACGGGCGTTCTCCAGTATGCACCCGTATATGCTCGGTCCTAGCCCATGCCCACTTGAATGACATGGAACAACCTTTCCATGGGCACTTGAGGGGCCTATCATCATCATGGACTCGTTGATGAAGGATTGCATATTTGTGGGAACGGAATTTCTTACCACAGCCATCATACGGGCACCGATTCCGTTTGTGCAACCTCAACTCATCCTCTGTCTCGAAACTCATATGGCAGCCTTCCAGGTCACATCCATGAGACCCATTTTTTATTTTCTTCTTACTCTGGGTATGAACTGAAGGTTTTCTCATCTCTTTTGTTGGCAGCCTCTCAGAAGATGCTTTACATGCATTAAGACCGTTGGTTGCATCTTTCCGATCCCTCGGCCTTAACCCTTCACATGGACTTCTAATAAAGCCATTGCTGTCAACCTTTTCATGTGTTTCCTCCAGTTCCGTCTTCCTCTTTCTTCCATACATAACACTTGATTTACAATCTGCCATGACAGACTCATGATCTCCATTCTCTGCCGACGAACAATCTCCGTCGCCATCATTTACATTCATGGTAGTACCAGTCTCTGTAGCGATAGCTTTCTGATTCATAGAAACAGTTCCCTCATCTGCTGTTGCAGCAGCACACGGCACGTCCTGAGAACTGCTGTCTTGGTGAACCTCACAGCAATCTTCTATCACCACGTGAGTAGGCTGCTTTTCTTGGATTGGCAAATCAGAACCACTTATAACTTCATCCCTAGCGATTCTTTTTGTAGCTTGAGTTTCTTGCAATACTTCATCATCTAAGGTCACACCAGTATGCCAATCTTCTTTGGCACAAGGATTCTTTGAAATTAGGGAATGTTTTTCAACAGAGAGGTTAGAAGAGTGATCAATGCCCCCTTCCTTCCTTGCATTAATCTGGATTTCCTGCTTCTGTGCTTTATTCTCGGAAGAAGTACCATCAAAAGAATCTGCTGCAGCACAGGGCTCCTTCCGATCTTCCGATCTTAACATCGCCTTGTAGTTATTTTTGCTGGTAGCTTCAGTTTCTTGCTGCACTTCGTTCTCAGATGTCATATATGAGTTTATGGACAACTTTAGAATAGTTGTATCCTCTAATCCTTTATCAAATGTTCCAGCACATGGCCGAGCAGATCTTGAACTTGCTGAATTACCAAGATTCACCAAATCATAACCGGAAGCCGGTTTCTCAACCCGTCCTTCAGAAAGTGAATTGCAAACCTTGGTAGCAGTGGCAGTGTTCTCCACATATCTTTCATGATCCACAGAAATGCAGCATTTAGAACACTCGCCGGCAGGAGAAATCTCATCACTCGCAGTGTTACTCTCTGTGAGCTTGATCTCGCATTTCTTTTGAGAACTAGCACAGGCTGTCAAACTCCGAGTTTCATCATCCGGATCCAATTCCTCCAAAATTTCATTCTGGTCATTTTGTACCACTGAGGTAGTCAGGATCTCAAGTTGAGTCCGAATTGACTCATTTCTGGTATTTATCTTGGATTTATTTCCCATATCTTCTTTTGGCAAGTCATTCTTCAACGGCTCACTGACCCCACCAGCTCCAGTTGAAAAATCCGGTTTGCTTTTCTTCCTTCTTGAATACTGAATAATTTTCAGCCCATATTTAGAAATGTTGCTATCAAGCTTTTCCACCAATATTTCATCTACTTTCATTTCAACACTTTCATGTGGTTTAGACGGTGATGGATGGTTTAACTTGCCTTTGGAACGGGATTTTCTCGACTGCCATTTGACATTTATTAACTCCGAACTGCTGTATTTATCACTGAAAAGACCACTCAATGGCAGTGCATGCTGGACTTGCTTAAATGGAGAGTTCTTTCGGACTTTGACACAGTACCGCAAGTTAACACCAAGTTCGGTGGTCCAGTCTTCCAGAATTTCATCATGTTCATCATCAATCGCAAAATTGATCAAATTCAGATCCTCCTTGGATGCGGCTTCTAGTGGAACATCATTAAAATTGAACGGGGTACCAATCGCGTCTGCAACAGGTATTGCTTGTGCCTTTATTTTCTGATAATCTAATAGATCAGAGAATAGATGTTAAGAACTAATTCAAAACTACAACACAAGCAAATACATGAAATGATTGAATAGTAGATAGTAGCAAATACTACAGACCTATGTTAACTCATTTGAGTGTTTCAGATACGGGTATGAGTCCAACGGGGATGGGTTCAATTTTTTTTTAATAAATTTGAATGTATTTGGAGGATCTTTAAAAGATCATATCTCCATACTCGAGTCCAAATATGATTTGGAAACGGAAGATGGGAATGGATACTTTTTGATCGGTTGTTAATAACAACAGGAATGTAGCCTAAATGAAGATAAACTGATCTGATGTATAGAATAAAGGAGGCAGATAGATCTAAAGTCAATCTTACCTGAATGACAAATTACCAGCATTTTCGCTCCACCTTTGGACCGCAAAAGCTCATCGACTTGGAGAGCATGCTCCAGGCAGAAAATCCGAGGTCTCAGATATTTGTTACAGGTATTCCATCCTTGGGAAACCTTAGTTATTGATGGAAATGGTGAATTCTTGGAAGGAAGTGATAGATCCACATGACTGAGATTGTCTGGAGAACAAAGCACGAGATTTACATTAATAATCATTTCAGAAACCCGAAAAGATGGTGAAGCAAACTTCTTTGGTTTAAAGCAACATAAGTTCCAACCTCCAAGTTTATGGCAACAGATGTTTAACTTACGGGAAAACAATCCAACTATGTGACAGTTTGAGTGGTGAACAACTCGAAGTCAAAATGAACTGATGATAAAATTGAGAAACAAAATTTATTAGAAAGGGTCCCATACCCGAAATTGATCCCTCAACAGGACAAGAATGGATATTGTTAGGTTTCAAGACTGTTGGACCTTGACATGAAAGATGATTCGCAGGTAGAAGTTCCATAGTTGCTCCCTCACGTGGTTGTACCACGGACATAAATGGATAGCCTAGAATTCCACAAGCCACACAAGCCAATGTCCCTGAATCAACTTGTAAATCACATGTCAAATCGTCATCATTAGAATATAAATAGTTCAGATTTTCCATGTAGAAGCTCATTTCATCTAAGAGATTCTTTGACTAGATTTATCTTCACTGTGAATGTCAGAAACATTTTCCTGCAGCATTGTAGAATCTGTAGCAATTCCGCTGGGCAATTCGGAATCTTTTCTCACACAAGGAAGTAACAAAGGGTCCCACATTATTGCACGATAAGTCGATTCTGTTTTTAGAAGAAGAGATAACAATTTATTTTCGGTTAACAAATCTTCTATAAAAGCCTTCTTTATTAACACCTCTCGTTCTTCCTTCAAGCGATCTCTCAGACGAGAACTGCGAGCACCAGGTAGCAAGGATCTTGGTATCCTGGAATGGAAACAAATTAATTGAAACAAACTTGAGAAACAACTAAACAGCTCAATAGATATTATCAAAACTAAATTTTAGAAAATAATGTAAAGTACAAAGATTTTATGTAGACCTCTATGCTCATTAAGCTTGATATTCACACAAAAAAATACAGATGGCATAATTGGTGAGTTATGGATTAACTTCAGTTGATTAAAGAACAGAAATAATGCCATAATTTTGGTTTCAGATTGTTCTAGAAACTAAAACCACAGTTCATTTTGTGTCAAAGTTTGATATAAAAGAATAAACTAACTAAAAAACAAAGATGGTATAATTGATGAGTTATTAGGGATTAACTGCAGGTGATTGAACCATATAAACAAAAATGATGCCATAATTATTGTTACAGATTATTCTAAAAACTAAAAACATGGGTTTCAAACATAAGGAGTCAACAAATAAAGTGTCGGAGCAACATAGTATATTACTATACTCAGCCTTAAATTTATTAAATTTAAATTAGAAATAGAAACAGCTGCCCGTAGGCCCATTGTTTCAGTTCTTGACATGCTATCTGCACTGGGCAACCGTCATCCGTTGACCTAGGAAATATCGAAAATATAAATCTTCATACTGCCAGATTTCCAAACTAACAGATGTGGCATAACTTCAGTCCATGCTTTGCTTAAATTAATAAAAACTGACCTTGACAAAAAGGACATGGTCAAAAGGTATAACAACTGCTGATGAGAAAGCATTGGAAGATAGTTCATAGCCGCTCTACGCACAGCAGCTTCCTTAGCAACTTGAAGCCACTGCGGAGTTCCAAAGTTTGCAGCTTCCCCGCAATTAAAACCTGTTTAGTAAAACAATTTACCATGACAATTGATGAAAATTAGAATGAGAGAGAAAAGTCTAAGGTAAATGTATGTTCAATTTTTTCACAGATTTCAATATTTGGAGTGTTCAGGGAGGATCATATCTCCATAAATATGTTCGGATATGCATTGGACATTGGTACTTCCAAAACAATGAAGAAGTGAAGCAACAATTGTCTAAGACAATATTCAGATGTAGGTTCACAGTGACCACATTAAAAGGCCCTTCCACATTGTTTTGGTTTATGAAATATAGATACACAATAGTATATGTAGCATATAACAAGTATGAGAGAGAGTGACAGGACAGAAGAGAGAGAAAAATGAATATGCCAGTCTTCCTCCGGCGGGAGTTGGACTGTATTCGTTGACAACCTGAGTAAGAGAGTCACTAGGAGTGAGCTAAGAAACATATTTATCGATCAGGGTCAGGTGGTGAGAATTTTCATACCAAATGTGGTGAACAGGCCAAAGTATAAATCTTTCACTTTTGCCTTCGTTCAGTTTGGTAATGAAACAGAGATGAGGAATGCAGTTGAAAATATTAACGGGGTTGTGGATAGATGGGAGGAAAATTTACGTTGGAGTTGCAAAGTACCAGAGTGTTCGACCAAGGGTTGCTGGTTCTTCTCGTCTTTCAGTTGGTGTCCAGGAAAAGGTTATATTTGATAAAGCTAATCCAAGTTCGAAGGCTGTGATTCCGAGCAGATTAAGAGATGATAGATCATACAAAGATGTCTTGGTGTCGTGCAGTTCGCAAAAGACTGAGTCGGAGCATATAGGAAAAAGTTACGAAAGTCTAGACAGGGGAAGAGGGATGAAGAAGAAGAAGAATATTTGGGAAATGCATATTCCTACTGAAAATTCAAGTTGGGTGAAAAGATCTCTAACGGGTATTGTGAAACATTCCTTTGAGCTGGAGTTGGTTCAAAAAAGGTTTGGCTAGTGATGGTTTTGAAGTTCAAATTGCGAGCTGGGGATATGTTTGGAACTCTTTTGTTATAACGTTCAAATCAGAGGAATTGATGAAGGATGCGTGGTCAAATAAGAGTAAGGAGTTATGGTTCTGGTTCGATCGGTTGGCACCGCTGTTGAATGAAGGTGGAGTGCCTATGGCTTATTGTTTGGTGGAGCTGTTCGGTGTCCCTCTGTTATGTTGGCAAGAGAATTTCTTACAGAAGTTAGCTGGAAGGTGGGGTTCAGTGGAGGTCATCCAGGATTCGACTCTAACAAGGGAAGATCTCTCGATGGTGAGAATTTTGCTTAGGGTGGAAAGTCCCTTTGACGTCCCGGAAGTGTTTACTCTAGGTTCCTACGGAAGATCATATAAGGTGACTTCTAAGTTGGGATCTACTTCCCAGGTTTCAAACTTCTTTCATGGCATCTCGCCGGATAAATTTTCCGACGATAGAGTCACAGTCGTAGAGTCGTCAGAGGAGGAAGACGATAGTATACGTTCATCAGACATGGCAGGTCCAGGTCAGCTTGATGTGGAAGATCGGCAGAAAGTGGACTTATGGATTGATCAGGGATTTCCTGTCGGGGTTAGTGCAGTAGGTGAAGAAAATCAGTTTTCAAAAAGAAGCTTGGCAGGGAAAGACATTAATGAAGTTGTGTCAGAAGGTCACAGTTTGGGGAGTAGTAAAAAGGGAGATTATGATGGGCTGGGTTTAAGAAATAAGGGGGATTATAAAGACAGTTTGCAGGCCCTTTCAGACAGGAGCAGTGAGCCTTTTTCTCCTATCTTGAGACTAGTTCCGGCTGGGCCAGCAGTCAAATTCATTGGGCCCGGAAATGCTAATCAAAAGCAAATTCATAATGTTTCTAACAGCTCTGGGGATGGAGACAAAGACAGAGGCAGTCAAGGCTTATGGTCTGAGGCGGGTTTTAAGGATACAACAGGTATGGATGGTGAAGTGGGGTCTGCTGAAGGCTTAAAGTTGTCATGTTTTAGAGCTGGTTCGCCAACTCGTTCTGCTAGTCCTATTTCTTGGAAGAGTGTCCCGGTTGGGAGAAAGCTAATTAAGAGTCATAAGAGATTTTATAACAGGTCCAGAGAAAGAAAAATTTGGTTGGATGAGCCAGGAAGGGTTTCTAGTTTAAAGTTGGGTAGGTTTCCTATCTCAAGTGGTTTTCATTCTAAAAGTTCAGAGGCGGCTGGGTTGGCTGAAGGGGTTTGTGTTGATCAAAGAGGCAAGCGCTCTTATAGGAGAATGAAAAGATCCCTCACTAGGGATGCTCTAGACCATGCTAGTGTGACTACAGTATCCACATTAACATTCTCAGGGCTGTTGGAGGAAGCGATTGCTACTTGGGAGATAAGTAGGATGCTGGGCATTTCTTTCAAGGAAGGGAAGAATGCTTTTCTACAAAAAATTATGGATTTGGAGAAAGGTTTGAGTCAGGCTAGCTGAGTCCTAAGATGGATTCTGGGATTGCTTTGGTATTTTTTATAATTGAATATGATGACAAAACTCATTATCTTGTCCTGGAATGTTAGGGGGCTGGGCAAAAAGGAAAAACAGAGAGCTGTTCAGAAGTTATCCTCAGAGAAAAAACCAATGTTTCTTTTTCTCCAAGAGACAAAACTTGAGATTTTACCAAGCTCATTTTTAAGAAGTGGGTTGAATAAGCTGCAGGGGTTCGTTGTGTCTCCAGCAGTTGGTTCTTCAGGAGGCTTATTTAGTTGTTGGGATGATAGTTGTTTTGAGTTAGAAGACCAGTTTATCCATAGGAGGTTTATTGCTGTTTTTGGGAAGTTCAAATTCAATCAATTTAAGTGTGGGTTCATTAATGTTTATGGCCCGTCTGTGGAAGAAGAAGGCCAGTTTCTTTGAAGAATTGGACAGTTTTTAAATGGGTGCAGTTTGCCTTTATGTGTGGGAGGGGATTTCAATGCTTACTTAACAGAGGAGGAGAAGGATGGCATGTCTCAAAATAGAAATTCAATGGATATTTTCACTCTGTTCATTCAGCAAACGGGGGTGATTGACTTACCTTTAATAGGGGGAATTATACATGGAGCAGTAATCGGGATTGCCCCACTGTTATTAGGCTGGATAGGTTTCTGGTTAATGTCAGCTTCCTTTCTAAGTTTTCTGATATTACCCAATCGCTGTTGACAAAGTCCATTTCTGATCATAATGCTATTATTTTGGAGAGTGGGGAAGACAATTGGGGCAAGAGGCCGTTTAGGCTGTTTAGTTATTTGATGACTGAGGACGGCTTCCAAGAGAAAGTTGCAGAGTCTATTAATGAGTTCAAGAGGGTCAGAAAAAAAGCAGGAATTCTGAGCATTCTTAGAAACACTAAGTTTGCTATAAAGACTTGGTCTGGAAATAGGAATCAGTTTCCTAGTAAACAGATTTCTGCTATTGAAGACAAGATCCATCACCTAGAGAACTCTCTTCAGAAGAATCGAATTTCAGGAGTTATTGATAGTTCATCAGAGCTGAAGTTACTGAGGGATGAGCTTTGGAGACTTTACAGAATTGAGGAGCAAATCTGGTTTCAAAATTCAAGAGAGAAGTGGGTTAAAGATGGTGATCGGAATTCTAAATTTTTTCACACTTGTGCTTCCATTAGGAGGCGGAGGAACGCTCTAAATGCTATTTGTGTTGATGGGGTTATTATCAGGGACCCGGTCCGGTTAAAGTCTGTTGTCAAAGAGCATTTTTTCAAAGCTTTCAATAGCCGCACTACCTTGGAAGTGGAGGATATTAAGTTAAATTTCTCAAGAATTTCAATGGAGCAGAGTCTTATGCTAGAAAAGGAGTTTACGGAAGGCGAAATTTTGGAAACCTTGAATTCGTGTGATAGTAACAAAGCTCCGGGTCCGGATGGGCTGAGTATGGGTTTTTTCAAAAAAATTTGGTCTTCATTGAAAGGTGATATTATGAATTTTTTCAATAACTTTTACTTGGGAAAGGATTGGGAGCATGGCATTAATCATTCGTTCATAACTCTAATTCCAAAGGGCTCTAATATTGGGGGTTTAGATGATTTCAGACCAATTAGCCTAGTAGGTGGGATGTACAAGATTCTTTCCAAGTGCCTTTCGAGAAGGTTGAGGTGTTGCATGGATGATGTTGTTAGTGATTCACAATTTGCCTTCACTCAGGGTAGACAAATCTTGGATTGTTCTTTCATCGCTAATGAAGGTATTGATTTGTGGAGGAAGAAAGGATTGAAGGGTTGTGTGTTGAAGGTGGATTTCAAGAAAGCCTACGATACGGTAGATTGGGATATTTTATTTAAAGTTATGGTTAGAATGGGATTCGGATTAAAATGGTGTGGCTGGATTCGGAAATGTGTGTCAACTGCCTCGGTTTCAGTGCTAGTTAATGGGGTTCCTACGGATGAATTTCCTATGGCTAGAGGTCTTAGACAAGGGTGCTCCTTGTCACCATTGCTGTTTAATTTCATTGGCGAGTTACTTAATCTACTGATTAGGAAAGCAGTATCTTCGGGCTTGTTCAATGGTTTGATTGTTGGCAAGGATGATACAGCTCTTAATTTGTCACATTTGCAATTCGCAGATGATCTCATTATCTTCTGTATGGCTTCGAAGACACAGATTCTAAATGTCAAGAGGGTCTTACGGGTCTTTGAAGTCATTTCAGGACTGCAATTAAACCTCACTAAGTGTAGATTATTTGGGATTAATATCAGTGAGGAAGAGGTGTTGCAGTGGGCTAATACTATTGGTTGTGTAGTGGGACATTTTCCTTCGGAATATTTGGGATTACCGCTTGGTGCTAAGAGAAATTCTATAGCGTTGTGGGATCCGATAGTGCAGAAATTTAACAAGAAGCTAGCCAGCTGGAAGGCGAGGACTCTGTCTGTGGCAGGAAGATTAGTGTTATTAAAGGCTGTTTTATGCTCATTACCCACCTATTTCATGTCCCTGTTTAAAATACCCTCTTCCGTGATTGTTAAGCTAAACTCCATTATGGCCAGCTTTCTATGGGGAGGAGGGGCAGAGGTTAAAAAAATCCATTGGATAAACTGGTCGACAGTATGCTCTGCAAAAAGTGCGGGTGGTCTAGGAGTTCTAGATCTTAATTACATGAATAGAGCACTCCTAGGAAAGTGGTCTTGGAGGTTTGCGAATGATAGAGGGTCAGTGTGGAAAAAGGTTATTTGCAGTAAGTATAATCTAGACCCTAGTTTGTTGATTTTCAAGGAAAAACTACCTGCTTTTTCTTCTTGGATTTGGAAATCGATAGTCAATAATCATTTCAAAAATGACCAGTTCGGAGCTAAATTTCGAAGTCTGATAGATGTTCGAGTAGGCAGTGGGGACAGAATCAGTTTCTGGTCTGATAATTGGGCGACTGTTTCCCCTCTTAAAGAGGTCTTCCCCAGATTATTTGTTCTGTCTGTAAATAAAAATGGGAAGTTAAAAGAGTTTGGTGAGTTCAAGTCCTCAGTTTGGTGTTGGCATGTTCAATTGAGAAGGAGTTTGAGTGACTGGGAACTGGTTCAATTCTGCGATCTGATGACCTTAATTCACAATATACCTCTGTCCAAGGATCTGTCTGATGGGTGGGTTTGGAGAGGAAACGGGGATGGGATCTATTCTGTTAAGACCAGTGTCAAAGCTTGCAGTCCTGTTTTGTCAGCTGATTCTTTTTGGATGAAATTCATTTGGAGGGGTTTGGTGCCTCCCAGAGTGGAGGTCTTTTTGTGGCAGGTTGTGCATCATAGACTGCCAGTAAAACAGGAACTACAAAGGAGAGGAGTTTCAGCTGTTATAGATGTGTCATGTCCCCTTTGTAAAAAAGAGGTTGAATCCTCTTTGCATTTATTTTTTACTTGCCTTGTGGCATGGGTATTGTGGATGAAATTTTTGAAATTGTGGGGTGTTAGTTCGGTTTTGCAGGCCAATGCTCAAGTTTTCTGATAGCTTGGGAGCATTTGGTCCCTAATTCTAGAATTTGGTCATATATTCCAGGTGTGGTGCTATGGACTATATGGAAATATAGGAATGACATTGTGTTTGATGGGGTAGGCTCGATCAGATCGATCTGTTTTTTATGGCAAGATGTAGGCTGGCGACCTGGTTCATAACGAATACCAAGGATGTCTCTATTCTAAAAGACTCTCTCATCTCTGATCCTACTATTGGGGATTATTGCTCTAAGTCAAGGTGTTCGATCATTGAAATTGTGTCTTGGTCTCCTCCTCCAAAGGATTTTATTAAACTTAATGTGGATGCAGCAGTGAATGGTGATTGGAGGAAGAGTGGTGTTGGGGGAATTCTTAGAGATGAGGATGGCTCGGTGATGGGCTCTTTTCAAGAGCCTTCTGGTCCAGGTCCTCCGGCGCTGATTGAGTTGTTGGCAGTTAAGAGGGGCCTAATTTTTTTTGAGCCGTTTCATCAGCAGATGAAGGAACGTTTATTGATTGAATCTGACAGTAAGCTTGCAGTAGAGTGGGTCAAGAATTTTGAGCTCTGTCCCGGTGTATACTCTAATTTAGTAAAAGATATTGTTACTAAGTTAAGGGAGTTGAATGGTATTATTAGATGGGTTGCTAGGTCAGCCAATGTTGAGGCTGATAGTTTAGCCAAAGCTGGTATTGGCTAGTTTTACATTTGTGATTTGCTTTTGTAGTCTTTGGGTTGGATTATGTAAAGGGAGTGTTTATGTGTTGTTGTTAAACATTATGTATATTGTGGTTTTTAATGAATCCTAAGGCACTCTTTTCCTCCTTCCGCTGATTGAGAAACACTTAGTGTTCCATTAATCATGAAGGGGGTTTTTAACGAGGCCTACATTCCTATCAAAAAAAAAATATAGATACACAGCTGTTGATTGGATTCACTCGCCTTCTTCTGCACCTGTGTATTTTAGTAATCTAATTAAGGATATTGAGCTTTTTGTATTCTCTAGGGCGTTGATAGTAAAGTTAATTCCTAGGGGTTGTAATTGGGAGGCTGATAAGTTAGCTAAAGGAGTTGGTTGACTGAGTAGTTTTATTGAGGATGTTTTTTGGCATTCTTAGGGGATAGTCTTATCTATTGTAATTCGAAGGCATTTTGTTGTATGAATTTCATATCAATAAAATGAGGTACTCTTTTCCTCCTTCGGCTAGTTGTTCCTTGCCTCTCGGAAAGGATCAATTATTAAGGGGGTTTTTAATGAGACCTCCAACTTTTATAAAAAAAAACATAGATACACACGGATAACATCTGTTAGTCCTAATTCTAGTTCCCTGGTAAAATCCAATACATCAAAAATCTTCTCCAATAAGCAGTCGGAACTCATTTTAAATATCTTCAAACCTGCTCATTAATGAGATCACCAGTAGCAAGACCTTGATCACTAATGATAAATATATAACCCCATCCCCCACCCAACCCAGACCAAAATGATTTGGCAATGAAATCCTTCCACATCTCCTCCCCTATAGTTCTCCCGAAGTAAGAAAATTAAAAAGGAAAAAGATAACTATTATTCTCGTAATTAAAATAGTCATTAATTACCAAAACTGCCAGAGGTGTAATCGGGCCAAACTCGCATAGAGGTCAGCTCAAACTTGAGCTTGACCGAATACTCGGGGTTCGATACTCGGTTCGAGCTCAATCTAACATCAAATTCTAAGATCAAGCTCAACTCAAGGTATAATCGAACAACTGGAGCTTGAGCAAGCTCAATTACTAATCTTCATATTCAAACTTAAAATTGAGCTTGATTAAGCCAAGATAGGAATCTTATGAAATACCCAAATGGGAAAAGAAGGGCAAAAAACCCAGAACTTTACCTGGAAAGCAAAGGCCAGAGATTACATGTCATATGTGAAATGGAAAACTGACAAAAAAAGGGGGGAAATAGTTCTTTTGCTTGCATGTAATTTTGATGAAAAGAGCATGAGAAAAAAAAACTGAAATGACTCAACCAACAGACTTATCTGATGTAGAGTCGATTTAAATACACAAGGTTAAGTTGATGTTAGAGATTCCCACTTGACTTGATTAAGAAGTCATTTTCTTACTGTCGAAGAAAGCAAGAACAGGGAGTTTTAGAATCGAAGGTGAATGGCTGAAGGTTTGGGAAAGGAGGAGAGTGGCTGTCGGCTGAGGATGTGGGAAACAGGTGAAGGGCTGAAGGGTTTGGGGCAAGGATGGGTTGTTGGCTGAGGATATGGGAAGGGGAAAACATTGAAAATCGTTTAGGGTTAATACTAAATATAATGAGGTTAAATTTAATGTAGTAATATAAAAATATTTAAAATATATATCATAATGAAATGCTCGATTAAGCTCGTGAGCCATTCCAGCTGGGTATTATAGTGCTCGAATTTGGCTCGATTGAGAGCTCAAGCTAGGCTCATTAATTATTGAATCGCAAACTTTTTTCGAGTCAAACTCGAATAGCTTGCAAATACCAGTATCTCATTTAAACCCCCAAGTGAAGCTTATCACTCCCGTATGGAGCCCCAAAATTTCACAAATATAAACACATTTGTTACATCGTGCCTATCATTTTCAGATAGTTTACCCTATTAGAACCTCACTATCCATTATTACAATATCATGTCAAGCTAAAATGTGTACCTATAAAGCAAGAGAGAGAGAGAGAGAGAGAGAGAGAGAGAGAACTGTTTTCCTGAATATGTTATGCCATCAAAGAACAGACACATTCATTTAATATTTACACATTTTCTATTTTGTGCTTCCAATGGTCAATAAAACATAAATGTGCAGGAATTAAATCCCCCATTCAGGAGATAGACAATTAATGAAATTATCATAAAGCTGAAAATCAACTATAAGAAATATTACCATGGCTGAGTCCTACATGGTAGGCTCTCGGAAAAGTTACAACAAATTCACCAGGATTCTGTATTAACCTGAAGAAACAACAGAATAAACATAAGTAGAACTTCAAAAGTTCAGAAGAAAGCACCAAATGTCAGACACAGCAAGCCTCAAAAGTTTTCCAATATTGGGATGTTAACATCCTCACATCTGCAAGTTCAATATCATTACGGAATCAAGGGAGATTAGGGATACAATTACTCAAAAGAACAACATCAACTCACCTACAACAAGGAATGCCAGATGCGACAATCAACTCAGGTGATACAAGAGTTGTCTTCTCACCCAATAATGACAGAGCAGCTGGCAAGAAAGGATACTGAAACTGAGTTACAAGAAAGGTATAAAAGTTGCAATAATCAACTAAGTCTGATGGATGGCAAATGTTCCACTCCAGGGAGACATGTCTAAAACATCCTAGAATTAGCAAAAGCACATTTTCATAAGCCTCCATAGATTCTACAAGTGGTGAGCGAAAAATTGAAGCAATTCCAGATTAGAGAATCCATCAAAATATTTACTATAATCCATAAGCCATGAGATGAAATAGTGCAAACTGTTACTAAAATCCACCCGAATGTAATACACAACAACCTAATATATGATGACAAAAAGTGTCGTACCTAAGCGGTCAATGTTACCACCATAACCCTCAGTGCGGATAACTTCCTCAAAAGCAAATGCATGATCTCCAGGAACAGCATACCAAGTCTTTGAAGAGCCAGTATGAAGAAAATTCATGCTATGAAGCTCATGATCTTCAACGTGCCATGCAAACCAGCTAAACAGCATGCCAATATAAACCATGGGAGAAGTAACACCAGGAATATCATCAGGCATAAAACGTGTAAGTGAGCCAGCTGAGCGAGCAATCACTTGAAGATTCCAAGGACTATTTGAAAGCTTCCAACCAGAGGTACCTTCCATATCATTGCCAGTATTTACATTCTTTCTTTTAGAAAGAGAATTTCCATCTGATACCATGATTGACAATGTCGTTGATGACTTGGGTGTTTCTACAAATGAATCTGGGTTACTTTTAGCGGGAGTATCTTTATTCTCATCCCTGTGTGAGTTATTTACAGTATCGTTCTCATCTTTCTTGCATTCAGGGTTTTCCCTCCTGTATGACATCCTCTTCCTCTTCCTCCTATGGACATACCGAAATTGACCGTCTGGTTCCCCAAAACCTGATCCGGGGACATCATTAGCATATTCCACATATACAGACTTCTCTGAAGCCACCTTCCAAAATAATGCCTCGATGTGCAATGGTGATCCCTCCTTAAGCACACCCAATAAACTCTTGGCCAATGTCTTAGACTTGGATTCAAACTGCTCTAATGTATAAATCTCCCCACTTTGCCACACCTGCTTCTGCACACCACAGTGTGGACTATTAGCCACCCCTTTCATTCTCCTCCCACTCTGTCCCAGCTCCTGATGTCGAGTTGTAAACACCGCCCTCCTTTCCCCCTCATCACCATCATTGTCCCCAAAACTCGAAACAGAACCAACATTCACGTCACTTCCTAATTCCGGACACTTGGACAGTGACTTATTCAAATTGTTAAAAACATACTTTTTCGATGGTTTTGGAAATGGTGGAATAATCTTACATATACCATAAGAACCAGCTTCTTTCTCAATCTTTGATATATATGCAATGGGGTCAGCAAACTCGGTATCTGTAGGCCGAAATTCAGGTGCCAACGGCAACCGTTTAAGCCATTTTGGTATTTCCACATTTCCCATTTACAACAAAGATTCTAAACAACAAAGAACAACATAAACCAATCAAATCATTAACCCTTAACATACATTGCTTATTAATGTTTCAAAGGCATGAAAATTGACAATAGCCCAATTCTATAAACCACTAAATAAAATTGTTCTAACACGTTTCCCAACATGGGTATCCTTGTTTTCTTCAATCGAATCTACATAAAACTCCAATGTTTTAGGGTAAAAGTTCCAAACTTGTCGCTTGAAAAATATATCAAATAAATTAGGAGGGGGAAGAATAAAAACCTGGAGAACCGCCAGAAGCCACTTGAAAATCTCGACACTAGTCTTCACAACGCGGCAAACAACAGGGAGAGGAAGCTAGGTTTTGATCAACCAATCTGGTGCAAGTTAGCAGGTGAGTGTGGGAAAGGGCTAACGTGCGAGGAGATGTTGATGCAGATTGTGTGGACCGTGCGATATTCGGTGGTATGATGAGGTAAGATTGGATGATATTATATATTGGGCCACTTGCATGATGAACATAACATGCATGGGACCTCTAATTTTATATCTTTGTTTTATCCTTACACAATTGTAAAGGTTTAGATTACCGGTCCAACTACATAAATTCCATCCATATGAACCTATCTTTTATAAAAAAAAATATTTCTATATGAATTTGGATGGATTTTATTTAAATAAATTTATAAAAATATATTTTTAAATTCTTTATTCAAGCTAATTTCGTTAGATTATTATATAATTTTAAAAATTAGAATCTATTAATCAGTTTTAGTGATAAAAATGAGTGTTATTCTTTCTAGAAGTCTCAGATTCGAATAATCATATTTATAAGGTATGTATATGTTGTCAATGACTACAAAATATTTTTAAAAATATTACCTTGTAATCATGGACTGATACAAGATTTTATGTTAGAGGATGAATTTATAAAATTCTAAGGATGACATGCTTATAAAATTTTCAATCGAAAATATATAGGAATTTAAAAAAAAAATTAAGTGGACGATCACCCTCACCCGCTTCCCCCGATCTATCCCTACTTGTAATTATCTTAGATTATTCAAATAAAATAAAATAATTTTATTATCGTTATTTATGTGTATATATTATTCATCATCACACTTATAGTTAAGATCCAAAATGTATCATTCTTTGTTCTATCCCTCACATTTGTGGGATCGAGTCCCACGGAAGGTATTTCATAATTCGGATGTCTCTTACGGAAGCTGCTCTCAACCTGACGTTGGGGGCAATCTACTATCCTACCTATCTCTTACCTTATTACATATGAGAATAAATGTCAGCTAATTTTTTTTCTTTTCCAAAAAATAAATTCAGAGTCAAACAACGACGACATAAATAAGATTACAAAAATTAATGAGCAGTGACAGTCTAATCTCTACTTGCACGGCCCTTATATCAAATTTTAAATAATTAAATTTTAAACAGTATATTTTAAAGCTGCTTTTAAAATTAATTTTTTATACTATTTTTTAAATCACTTTTCAAAAATGTAATAGCAAATGACCACTCATTGTTTTCCACCTTAAACAGGTATGTGGTTAATTTTTTATAAGGGGAAAATATTTTAGAACATTTTTGGTCTTTCTTAACCATCATTGATGGCAGACGCACGTGATTGGCAAACGAAGATTATTGCAGTCGATCTCTTATCAGATTCTCGATTGTGATAAAAAACAGAATTAAAATATAAGAGTGAAAACATATTTGTAATAAAAAACACAAAAAAATCTAAAATATATGAAAATTTGAATTTAAAATTTTTATGTAATTCTAATTTTTATTCTTGTATGGAACTCGGCTTCGTAAGTCGATCATCACTTTCCAAAATCAACTTGTCCTTGCACTTTTTCACAGCAAAGAAAGTTTAACCTTTTGCACTAGTTTCTGGAACTTCAAATTTCATCATCCTTGACAGGGATGTTAATGGCGAAAATAGAGCAAGTGTTGGGAAAAGAGAGAGCGAAAGAAACACTGATAAAGAATCCAAATGGAGTGAAAATAGTGGTGAAGATGATGTTCATGGTGTTGAACCAGGAAGAGTGAAAACGCAATTAACTCCTGATGAAGATGTGTGAGGAATTAATGGAAGCAAGGGAAAAAGTAATAGTGGGTGCAGTTTGAACGCAAATGCAATTGCAATTAGTTGAAGCGTCAGTCAATATGAGTCAAACGATATATCCTGCATGGCGCTTGACGGTCGAAATAATTGTTTAATGGTCTAGTTCAGCTTTCTGTCACTGAGGTTAATGGCTGATAACAATATTTTATTACAAATCGATAATGTTAGTAATTAATTTTAAATTTTTAAAAGTTTAGTAAGAAAAACAAAATTTGATCAAACTTTGGTGACCATTCATATAGTTTACCCAAATTTTAATTTATATAGTTATCATAACCATACCAATCTTATCAACTCGACCTCCCGCTGTGCTTTTAGTTGAATTTAAGGTAAATTATCGCGTAGTCATGCCACTTTTAGAATCTTTTCAATCAGATCCTCAACACATAGAATTTGCTAGTAATTGAACCTCATGGGTTCTGATTCTCTCGATCAGGTCCTAATTTGCTTTAAATAAACTAAAATTCAACATTAATTTCATAATAAATTTCAATTAGGTCCCAATTTGAGATTAGTTCGTTAAAATTTGGCTTTAATCATTAATTAGGTTCAATGTGGTGCTTATTTGATTTAATCTTTTAACATCTTATTTTTTAAGGGTATTTCCGTAAACTCATTAAGGGTAAGTAATTCGGATCAAATTTTACCTTTTAATTTAACTTGCAATTTTCTTAATCAAAGACAACTGAAAATTACGTAGTACCGAAAGGGCGGTTCAAGGGTACTAATCCTTCCTTGACCGTAACCGACTCCCGAACCCGACACATCTTTGGAAAGACGCAGATCAGGTAAGAAATAGGGTATCCGATCAACCCATTTGTTTTAAATAAATGATCGGTGGCGACTCCAATCCACATTTTTCAAGTCGAAGCCCAATTCCGGGACCCAACCGAAAGACGGTTGCGACAGTACATAAATATTTTTGGGCAATATTTATAAGCATAAATCAGATCATGCAAATTGTTATACCATTATATCATGAAAGTTTGTTTATATCAAGCTTTTAAAAATAATAATAATAATAATCAGATTTACATGAGTTTTATCTATTTATTTTTCCTTTAACAAACGATGTCTGTTTATCAAGAAGAGAAATATTTAAGATATTAGTAAAAAAAATATTTAAGATTAAATTTTTTATATAAAAATATAATTATGTTAGCGTATTTTTTTTTCATATGACACGGAATTTAAAAGCGAAGATTAAATTAAGTTTAAACCAAATCTGTCTACGATCTTGTTAGTTCTTTAAGAATGCGAAGCACATATAGTGAATGCATGCGTGCGCATGACTACTGAGATCGAGCCGTGTATGATCATTGTTGGAGGTCAGAAAGGTAAATGCCAAATGTTAATTCATTTTTTACCGGCAAAATCTTTTTACCGTACAAGAAAACAAAAGTACATTAGCTATACATCTCTCATATTTATTTTGATCAAACTCTATTATGAATTTCATTCAAATATTCTTTTCACATTTTTATCTATATTTGAATATGTTTCGTTTTCCAATGCGATTGTACTTTATACTGATTTGATTTTTCTAATTATCATTATATATATATATATTATTCATAATTACACCTATAAATAAAATAAAAGATACAACGCTCATAATAAAAGATTCAGATTCAGAAACGAAAGCAGCACAAATAAAATTATAAAAATTAATGAATATTGCAGCAACATTAACAGTCAAATCTCCGCTTGCACAACCCTTACATCCACAATGAACGCATTCAATAATGTTTTCCTTCCTTAGGTGTTTGGGCACACGATGTTGGTAATGTTAAAACACTATCCCACATTGAGTGAGAAATATCACACACTTGGGTATTTATAGTGTTCATTCTTCTTTCCTTTATTCAATGACAGAGAACAAAGGAAAATCTCGCACGCCGCCGCTGCCTCGTCTTGTCTTGTGGACGTGGCTCGTTGGATACTATCTTTTCGGAGGAATGGTAGGGGCAGACTGGTTAATATCCGATAAACGAGAAGATGATCTTGGCAGCCGGCGAGGTGGTATCGTGCAGGTTTGAGCTGTAACAACGTGTTATTGTAGGGGTACAATTAAGTTGAGCTCGAGCTCGATTTCAAGATAAAGATTCAACTGCTGGGCCGTGCTCAATTAGGCTCATTTAACGTGTAAAGAATAAGCTGGATTCTGCAAGTTCATTTATTTATGAGCCGATTTCTAACAATCGATTCAATGTTACTAAACATCGTGCAAAACATATACAAAATCTAAGAAAACAAACTACTGCTAGAAGATTAACTTTGTTGCTATATTCATTGCAGAAACATGCAGCTCAAGCTGGATCTGAAATTTTCTTCATTATTAATATCCAGGTATGCTTATATTTTGAATTACCTTCACATTTTTTTAACATCCCAAACAACGGGTTAGTGACTAAATTGTAAAAATTCAGAATTTGGTGATTTAGGTAGAATAATTGAATAGTTAAAAAATAATTGTTAGTAAATATGAAATGAATTAAAGGAAAAAATGGTCATTTGTAAGGTAAAATAATTAAAAATTTGGATGGGTTTATATTAACCCACGTGGAAGAGAAAGGAAGGCAAAAATTGGTTCCAAGTTTTATTTCTCTTCTTCTCCTTGTTTGTCTCTTCTTCATGGTGGCTTTGGGCTACAAGGTAAGTTGGATTTTTATGGTTAATTTCTGGAATTTTAAAGAGGGTTTTGATTGTTTAGATGCTATATAAGCTAAAGGAAAGCTTATATGACATTAAAACAACAAGATAAATGTTTTAGAGATAGATTTGAAAAATGAGTTTTTAGATGAAATTTTGATATGGATGAGTTTTTGAAGTTTGAATAAGATTTTTGACTTGTCAGTAGGTTAATTAAGGAATATGGAGTGTTAGAATTGATTAATAACATGTTTGAAAATTGGATATGATTCTTAGTTTTAAGAATTTGAATTAAGTATTGGAAATAATGAAGTGTTGAAATGATAGAAGTTAGTTAATATGGTTGTAGTTAAGTTTGGTGGTATTAAAGGAACTTTGTATGAGAAAAATTAGTGAAGAGTTGATGAATTTCGGGTTTGAACAGTAAAATTTACAGATTATGCAGAGGGAATCAATTTCCCCTAAAGGAAAAGGTTGAAGTTTGGTTTATTAAATTAATCTAAGTTGTTAGTATCAAATTACAAGGGTTAGGCTTCTGATAACCATCTTGAAAATTATGTTTATGTAGATATAAAACGTAATTATATTCCGGAACAATCGAAGAGTTAGGATTGAATCAACGAAAGCGTGGTCAAGGTGAGTGCATATTATAATTATAGTACAATGGAATAAGA